CATCACTTTTGGTGTTGTCTATATTCCAGAATCTGTTGTAAACTTATTGGACCAATGATATTAATTTGTTAGTAGAGGTTACTTCAAATGTTTGATATAATAATGAAAGGCAAATAGGTAATTTTTAGGTGGAAGTTACTTTTATAGTATTTAATTAGGTGTAACAAATTTTTGTATGTAAGTTACTTTTATGGTATTTAATGGTGTTCATAACATAAGGTATTCATAAGAATGTGTATATAGGCGTTCATAAGAATATGTGCATAACAATAAGACGTTCATAAGATTGTGTTTATAACCATATGATGTTTATAGATGTTCAATAAGATTTAATGAACATAATCACCATTGTCCATAAGTGAACTCATGTTCATATAGAGGGAGATGCCCATGTATAGATTAATGTCTATAATAATGGAGATTTTTTTTTAATGACAATAGATTAATGTTCATATGAATGTTAATCTCATCAATGGGCAGTTACAAACTTTATGATTTTTTTTTTTCAATAACACCCTTGTTCATGTATGTTCATCTTAGATGATAATGTATTATATTATTAGTTATTACAAAATTGTCATCTATTGATTCACAAGATGAATGGTTGTGATGAGTTTATAAAGTTAATACCATAAATTTGGTTAACAAAAGAACTTACCCCTATATATATATATATATATATATATATATATATGTGGAAGTTCAAACGAGAACCTCTGTGATTTACAAGAATGCAAGAACAACCTACTAACCTCAAACTTTTTTAATCAATAATTTAAATTATATTAAATACAAATAAGTCAATAAGAGCAGTAGTGTAATTAGGTATTTTAATAATTTTTATTTTATTTTAATTAGTTAGAATTATCTCATTCTTTTTTGTTGGGATTGATCACGTTCATTGTATCACTTTCTTCCTTTTTACTTTCTGCTATTCTTTTCTTCTATCGGTTCATAGTATCCAAATTTTTTTATACCTAGAATGGAGAATTTGAATGTTGTAGATGATGATAAAGGTTCGATAATAGTGTGATAACAATATTATTTCATAGTTTTTTTTTTCTAAATCGGTTGTGTTATAAATAAAATGATTAGTAAAATTTAAAATTTAGGAAAAATATAGAAGACGAAAATAAAAAAAAAAGAACTCTAAAATCCCAACAAAAGTCGAAAGAATGTATGATTAGTCTTTTTAAAGTAAATCTGGGAAAAAAATAACAATTGAAGAAGAATATATTAAGTTTGATGAGATTATATCATAGATTTTAATACATACATTCAAAATTCAATTATTGAATTGTTGTTGTCACTAGAACTCTATAATTGCTGCCAAGAACAAACCTTTGATTCATTTAAAAAGCATGAGAAACATATAGAAGACGGAAGTAAAAAAATTAACTCTAAAATCCCAACAAAAATCGAGAATAATATCTAAATTAGTATTTTCAAAGTAAACTTGAAAAACGATCTTGTTGAATAATAAGAGTTCATAAAATGAAAGAACAAATCAATTGATGGAGAGAGAAAAAAAAGTTTGCCTCAAAAAAGTTTTTATTGAAGAATAAGGGCTATAAACCGAAGAATACATCAAGTGATAGAGAGGAAGAATAATACATAAATTAGTATTATTATAGTAAACCTGAAAAATGATTTTTTTTTTGAATAATAACAGTTTATAAAATGAAAGAAGAAATCAAGTGATGTAGAGAGTGAAAAAAGTTTATTTGAAAAAAGATTTTATTGAAAAATAATAGTTTATAAAATGAAGAATTCATCAAATGATAAAGATGAAGAAGGGGAGGAGATTTATTGATGGACAAATAAAAAAGAAATACATGGAAGGGTTTGGAGGTTTCACCTCCAAGAACGAACAAGAAAAGGTTGGAGATTAAATTTTTTAAAATTATCAAAATAACTCTATCCTAATGAATTTCATGTTTTAAATATAGAAATGGAAAAGTCTTTTACATATCAAAAAATTTTAAAAAATCAGAAATCTAAGAGAAAAGAAATATAGGTTTCTAATGTTTAAAGAGAGACACATCATTAAGTTTGGTTTCTTCTTTAATATATATATATATATATATATAGGGGTCTAATCAAATGAGAACTAATTAGTTTGTAGTAACCGTGATGTCTAATCTCAACCACAAATCAATAGATAAATTAGAAAATTTATAATTTTTTTTTAATTTTGAATTAAAATTTTAATGCAAGGACATTTTAGGTATTTTTTTTCTCTCTCTCTCATCTCTCCTCTCTTCTCTCTCCGTCCCCCGGTCTTCGTCCTCTGGCCTCTGACCGTCCTCCGGTGATATCACAGTGGTATCATAATGCGTCTTATATATGCTTGGGTATCACACTAAGGTCATTTGTGTGGTCGATCGGAGATGTAACACAGTGGTATCACAATGCATCTTATATGTGCTTGGGTATCACTGTGTCTTTTGTTTAACATAGTCAATATTTTTAGGTATCACAGTGGTATCACCGGATGACGAGGGACGGAGAGAGAAAATACCTAAAATATCTTTGCATAAATTTTGTAATTCAAAATTACCAAAATTATAAATTTCCTAATTTATCTATTGATTTGTAGTAGGGAAGACCCGGTTACCACAAACTAGTCAATTTTCCCTTGAACGGACCCATATATATATAGGTGCTTAATCAAATGAGAACTAATTAGTTTGTGGTAACTATGAGAACCAATGTGAGCCAATCATTTAAATAATTAATGTTATATCCTAAAATAACATAAAGGGTAAATTGGTAATGTTTATAATAATAAAACCCTAACCCTCTTGTTCTTCGTTCTTTCATCGACTAACCCTCTTTTTCTATTGCTGCTTCTTCTTCTTCATCAAGCCGGCCGATGATTTGTTTCTACTTTCCCCGATTTCTGTTTTCAATTGTGTGGGGGATGGCGTCGATTGATCACAGGAATATTGAATCTGAAGAGGAAGAAGTTAGAATTTTGTCAACATCTGATCCCTTACTCGGTGATCCACCGGCGTATACCATCATGCCGGTTCCACAGCGCCATAACTCGCCGTCGCCGCCTGTGGAAGTTAATCTGTTCAAGGAAGAGCCGATGGAACACGATTTGGAGGGTTCGATTCCTGTAGCCATCGTCCCAATGCCAACATCTAACAAACAAGTTGCGGTGGCCACGCCGCGGAGGGCTTCGAAAGATTATAAAACTGCCTACAGTTACTTCTTTGAAGCATTTGAAGCATTCAATGCTCTTGATGATCCCAGAGCAGTTTATAGTCTCAAATATATGCTGCTATGCAAAATCATGGTGAAGAAACTGTCTCAGATGATATTGGACAAGAAGTTTGCTGGAATCCTGGATCAGGGCGTTGGGTGTCTCATCATCTTTGACGATCCAAAGKYARATGCGATCTATCCTTCAACACTCGAGAGTATGATCACAGTGTAACATAGTGTATCACAATGTTCGGTTTCATTATTTTTGCTTGTTTTATCAAGGTGTATCACATGTTTTTATGGTTTGAGTTGGTATCACAATGGTATCACAGTATATCACAATGAGTATCACATTGTGTATCTTTGTGATTAATTGGTACCTAACGGAATAATGTTGGCCGGAGGTCGGAGAGAGGAGGTCGGAGAGAGGAGGTCGGAGAGAGGAGAGATGTGTTTTTTAAAAATACCTAAAATGCCCTCTAATTATAATTTTAACTTAAAATACCATAATTACTAATTTCCTTATTTATCTGTTGATTTGTGGTTAAGATTGGTTCTCACAGTTACCACAAACTAATCAGTTCTCCCTTGAATGAGCCCCTATATATGTATATGTATATGTATATATATATATATATATATATATATATATATATATATATATATATATATATACTTTGGATCATGTGAGACCAACCTGTTTTCATGAGACCCGTGAGACCACTTTTTACACTTGAAACTTCACAGTAAAATGCTGTGAAGGTAACTTTCACAGTGTTTTTGCTGTGAAGGTTCGGATTTTTTTTACCTTCACATTGTTTTCGCTGTGAAGTTTCAAGTGTAAAAAGGTGGTCTCATGGGTTTCACGAAAACAGACTGGTCTCACGTAAATCCAACCCTATATATATGTATATATATTGGTTGTTGCTATTTTGGTGTTTGGGTTGTTATATAAATGGATGTTGAAATTTTTGAAATAAAAAATCTGTTGGAATTAATTGTAATTTTATTTTTTAAAATTTTAACTTTTAATTCTTTATTTTAGATAAATTATATAAAAACAGTTGGAGATCAATTTTGAAGTGAATCTTTATAAACTTTTAGTAGTTTCATTTATAACCTTTAATTTATTATGAAAATTTGAATGTTAGCATTCGGTGGTTGATTTAACAAAATTAGTGTATGAAACATGGGCGGATCTATGTAGAGGCTAGATGGATCAGATGTCATCACTTGTAAATGCTTACCAAGTCATATTATCTTACCTGATAAACATAGTAAGGACCAAGTACTTTTCCGGTAATAGCAAGACAAGGATTAAGAACTTACCCGGTAAGAGGGGGACAATGACCAAAAGTCTTACCCGGTAAGTGAGGGCGACGACTCTTACCATGGTAAACACTTACCGGGTAAATTATTGCATACGATGTCGTTTTATTGGACTAACATCTTACCCGTTAAGTAAATGATAGTGTTAAATTTTACCGTTAAGTACTTACCGGGTAAGTGCTTGGTAATCACTTACCGGTAATACCATTTGTAACGTTCTAAGCTCAAAATAATATGTAGATCTTCATCCCACTTCTTCTCAATCAACTAAAAACCTTGATAGGAGCCGGCAATTGCTCATAAATCTTATTTTTTATCCGTGCGAGACTGATAAACGGGCTTGATATCGCAAAAATCTCATTTTTTTTATCAATATATGACGAGTTGTCACATTTAGATACACAAAAGTAAAGGAATTAGATATCATTTTCAGAAGAATACGAAGAAAAACTTATTAACAAAATCAGTGTTTTCTCAAGAATCTTGATCCCATGGTTTCTAGTTCATGAATTGTATAGTAAGGGTGCCAAAAAAATCAATGAGACATCAAAATCAATCCAATCTCAACCTCAATGGTTGACTTTTTAATCTCCCAAAAGGTTGACTATCTTTCACACTAAATGCCATCCCCCTTGCCCTTGGTGTGGTTAATTACAAAAGAAATGTACAAAGAGCTTGAAATACAGATTTTGGTATTCCCTCGTTCTTCGGAGGCACCGATCGTTCCATTTTTCCAGCCAATTGATCTTGTATTTGATACCCTACTTGTCCCTGAACGTTCAATTTCATGGATATCAGGAATAAACCAAACCAAACCAAACGAACCCAGTATATCCTAAAGGTATGCTAACATCTACCCAAAAAGTATAACGACTACTTTTGTAAAGACCCATGAGCATTTAGTTTCATGGATAACCTAACCAAACCAAATAAAATCTAACCAAACCAAATAAAACCTAACCAAACGAGTTCAATATATCCCAGATGTAAGCAAACATGACCTTTATCTCAAAGAGTAGAACGACAATTCATGTAAGCCCCCCCAAGGGGAGGGGGTCATGCACAACAGGACTAAAATAAACCAAACCAAACCAAACCAAATCAAAACGAGCTAGTATATCCCTCACAGAAGTGAGAGTCCGGAGGAGGTAAAATGTATGCATACCCCATAGAGTAGGACGATTGTTTCCGTTAAAGACCTCCAATTTCATGAATATCATAACTATTTGCTTGTAATATGGATCATAACAAGTACAAAATTGTGTTGTGTACCTTAGCAGCATCCTTAAGAGGGCCCCAACACTCGACTCGATTGTACTTTTTTGAACTAGAGTGAAAAAAGACGCGAACAAATGCATCCATTAGCTCTTTATGTTCACTGAATAGAACACGATCCCCATAGAGAACTGCTTCAAGCACCTACATTATTGGCCAAATTATTGGGGGTTCTTATCAGTTTAATGATACCATTTGCTATAACCATTAGAATATAGGCAACCAAACTCGCACAATATATCCTACTCTAAGGTCGGGTCTGAGAACGGAGTGATGGTTGATTCCATGAAGACCCCCCAGCTTTTGAATAAGCGTAAACCATTAAAATAAAAGTAATGAACTCGATTTTTACCAATGGCAACTCCTTTGAAAAAATGTAGTATCGGAACTCTGCAGCTAGGTCTAGCAACGAATTTGGTCCGCTAACATAGCAATGAACGTCAAGGCACATATGACCCTTCACTTCAGCCCACTGAGCCACTACGTCGTCCTTATTATACCACCCTTTCAACTGCCATCGAACAACAAAAGAAGTGTGTGTGTGTGTGAGTTTTAGCGTATATAAATACGAAAAAGAAGGAAAGAAAATAGAAACCTGATGATGGTCAATAATGTTTGATATGGTTAATGTGAGGTTAGCAGTGAAGTCACAATGGGAAAGCTTGTAGGTCCTTGGGACAATTCTTGTGTATTGATCTGTTTCTTCTCCCTTGAAAAGAACTTGTAGTTTTGAGGCATCAAAGGTTGCTGGAGGCCCTAGAAGTTTTGCTGCCTGTTCATTACACAAACACACCAAATTTAGCTTTTTATGCAACAAATCATTAGCTGTTAGCTGTTAGCTGAGAAGATAGTTGTTTGTTGATAAGATAGCTGTTTGTTGATAAGATAGCTGTTAAACTAGTCATGTTTACTAAAAGTTAAAAAAAAAGATTATCTTAAAAATTACTAATATTCTAATCAAACAAATTACATCAAAAGAACGAGAACTTCATGCTCTTCGATATGACATCCATCTCGATATAGTGTTTTTTCGTTTAAACTGTTTTTTACGTGAAATGGTTGGTATGTATGTGTTATATTCATTATGAATATTTTTGTACGTTCAAGTGAGTACAACAGCTCGACACCACAAGTCTGTAACTCGACATCACCTTCTTCAACACTTTCTTCACCATCGTAAGACACCACGTTCTTCATCACCGTAACCAAACATCCATCGAAACCGATTGAGAAGCCACTGAGACCAAGCGAGAACCTATTGAGACCGATCGGAACCGATTGAGAATGGTCGAGAATCCATTCATTGACTTGGTATGTGTTTATATGTGTTAAATCATAACCTACCACCTTCATTTTTCATCGAAAACCTATCAATTGATTTATAATTTGTTTGTGTGTAAAGCTATAGACTATCACTTTCATCTTTTATCGAGAAGGATCAGGAACCCATCGAGTTCAATCAAGAACAAATCGAGATCGATCGACAACCCATTGGGACCGATCGACACCAATCGAGACTAATCAAGAACCCAACCACTGACTTGGTGTGTGTTTGTTTCTTTAAAACCATAACCTACGGATATGGAAATCTATCGATACGAATCGGAAACTCATCAAGATCAATCGAGAACCCAATAAAGAAAAATAAAGAAAAACTAAAGTATGTAGAGTTGCAACTGTAGTATATTCATGATTAATAATATGTATATGTATGATGAATATTATGATGAAAATTAATATTTATGATAAATATTATACTAATATAAATACTAGAGAGTTATTGTATACACGTGATCATAAATAAATATTCATGATGAATTATATGTATATTCATGATAAATGTTGAAGTGAAAATGTATATTCGTGACGAATATCATATTATTGTATGAATGTTGAAAAGTTGTATACACGTGAATATATATATATATATATATATATATATTCATGATAAATGCTATAAAGAAGACATATTATTCATGATTATTACTATTTATATTCATAATAAATACTATTTTATATTCATGATGAATGTTATAATGAAAATGTATATCAATGATAAATGTCATAGTCATGTATGAATACTGAATATTTGTTGAATACACGTGAAAATACATAACTATTCATGATGAATGTTATGGTAAGTTGTATATTCATGATTAATATTATACTAATAAATGAATATTAAAGAGTTGTTCTAAACATATGAACGTGCATAAATATTCATAATGAATATGACACAGATATATTATTTGACGTTAAAAATATAATAAAAATCTATATCGAGATACATGTCAAATCAAAGAGAATAAAATGCTCGATTTTTAATGTAATTTGTTTGGTTAAAAATATTAATTATATTTAAGATAACTTAGTTTAAAAATTAAGGGGGTAAAAGTTTTTTAATTAAAAAAATTAATAAAAAGTCAAACATGATAGCCATAAATCCTAACTTATATTTTTACCCCTAATCACTTCTTAATTAACCTATTCATTAGTTATATATATATATATATATATATATATGGGCACGTTCAAATGAAAACAGTACATTTCTAAGAAACCGTGTAAACCAATTTCGACCAATAGGAAAATTTCATTTTTTTCTAATTAAAATTAATCAAAAAGGGTATTTCAGTCATTTACAATATTTTCTATTAAATATGAAAGTTATTAATAAATCTTAATTAATGAAACGTAATAAAGAAAATTGTATAAATGGTAACATTTAAATATTTAATTATATTATAATATTAAAAATTTGAATTTCATATATTATAATCTTTTAGAATCAGCAAACGGGTCTTGATGAAACAATTGAAGTGTATAATGAAATCATCAAATCGTAGATGAACAAAAAAAAATCCAGAAATGAAACAGGYTTCWTGAACGTRAAAYTGGTTCATGTTGCAAATAAATTATGTGAACCGAAACATTTTCATGGTAAACCCGTTGCATTGATTGTGTAGTTGATCCATTTAGTTGGTGAAGAGGAAAATGAAACCGGTGCATTTTGTATTTGGTGCGTCATGAACTAAGTGCATGATGAAACGAGAAAATGATTTTAATCTGCTACAGAATCTTGAAGATTGTAACATGCTCCAGAATCTTCAAGATTGTAAGGCTTAAAGAAATGAATCCATCAAATCAGTGGTGAAATAAGAAAATTACTGTAGATGAAATAGGTTTCATGAAAGTGAAACTGGTTCATGGGGTTATTGAGCATGACAAGTGAAACGCTTGCATAATGTATTTGGTTCGTCATTAAATAATTGCATGATGAAACGGGTACATGAAGAAACTGCTCTAGAATCTTGAAGATTGTAATATGTTTTAGAATCTTTAAGATTGTAAGGCTTAAAGGAATTAATGCATCAAACCAGGAGCGAAAGAAAGAAAATAATTTTGCATGAAAAAAGATTCATGAAAGTAAACTAATCTTGGAATAAAATAATTTTTGCATGAAAAAAGATTCATGAAAGATCGAGTAGGATGTTACCAAATATTAAATTTTGTTTACCATTTATGCCCTTACTGTTGAAATAAAATAAAATTTTAATACATATATTTTTTTAATTTCCTAAAATAAAGTAAACTAATATTGGCCATTGATCAAGAAAATGGATGAATGAGATTGGTTTATACGGTTTACACAAATGGGGCCGGTTTTTATTTGAACGCTCCTATATATATATATATATATATATACATGAAACCAAAGGTTAACTTTATAAGTTAATAATCAATGGTCTAAATTGCATAGTGGCAATTTTGTGATTATTGAGAAGTCTCGTGACGTTTATGAATTTTCAGATTGTCAAATTATAACTCTAATGGGTTGAGAATTGGTCTTACGGGTCTCACGAAAAACCATTGGTCTCACATGATCCCAAGTCTATATATATATATATATATATGTGTGTGTGTGTTTGTGTATATAAAGGATCAGGTTCAGGGGAAAACTTAAGAAAATAAAAACTAAGGAACACTCTGTAACCGTTCATCTGGATTGTATGAACGTGTGCATAAAGTAATATGTAAGCAATTTGTCGGATATAAACATATGCATACAAATAATTGAAGCTCTCTCTCTCTCTCTCTCTCTCTCTCTCTATATATATATATATATATATAGAGGAGCGATCAAATGAAAACCACTTCAATTTGTAAAAACCGTAAAAACTACTCTCATTCATCGATTTCATTGTTTAATCTTATGAAATTTTTTCATGAAATTGTTTAATCTTGTGAAATTGTTTCATATAATA